ATATATTTTCATGGGGCCCAAAATCTCTAGCGGCGCCCCTGCACACACACACATGTACACACGTTCGCACACACAAGCACCTGATGAACATGATGAAGCTCACACGAGTGTACAGTGCACTCTGTCTAAGGGGCGTTTGTGCAGAGGCAGGCCATATCTCTTCACTGCAGCACACTCACACTACACAACCTTCCCTGTTTGATTCAGCTGTGCATTTTACATTTGTAAAAACAGAGATGAAATGTAAAAAGATAGGCAAAAAGGAGGCAGAGGAACAGAGAGATGGAAAGACTTGTACAGCTGAATGTAGAGGAAGCGAGGGAAAGGGGAGCGGAGCAGAAATCCTAATGAGGAAAAGAATGAGAGCTGAAGGTGAATGGAAGGATTGGCTGCTATCTGGGTATTTGTATAGTTGTATAATGCATTGAATAACACACGTTTTTGTGTGTGTGTGTGTGTGTGTGTGTGTGTGTGTGTGTGTGTGTGTGTGTGTGTGTGTGTGTGTGTGTGTGTGTGTGTGTGTGTGTGTGTGTGTGTTGTACACCTCAGCAATTTGCAAGTTGTGCTGACAATATATAACACTGTGACACTGCCCCCTACAGGGTGGTAAAATGATGTTATTGTACCAGATTTGAGGACAAGAAGCATGCTTATACTGTAGGTCCTTGTTTTCCTATGATCTTTACACCCTCTTCTCTCTGTCCCTTTGTGCTTCTCTCACTTTCCAGTCCATGAGTCTGATCGAACTGGGGAACCCGTCTCAGAGTCTGGAGAACGTGTGTCGCTGGGCCTTCCTGCAGCAGAAGCAGGACACAGGGGACGCTGAGTATCACGATCACGCCATCTTCCTCACACGCCAGGAGTTTGGCCCGACTGGCATGCAGGGTAACGAATGACATAACCATACTGAAAACCTTAGTATTTAACCTTCTTAAATGCATACATCTAAACTTCACGCCCACCATCTGAAGGAACTAAAGCACACAAAAAGTACACAAGAAAACTCTTCCTTCCTTCACCTCAGAGAGCTGCATAGTGCACTGTGGGTTTGGTGGTTGGTGGTTTTCTGTGCAGCAGAGTGCAGGCTAAAAGGCAGGCCCAGGGGAGAGGCCTCTAAAGGCAGTGGCCCAGCCATCCAGAAGCCCTTCAGCTGCCCTTGGGCTCAGCCTTCAGCAGCAGAAAATCAATAGGCAGAGCAGGGCCAGCCACACTCCCACAATTAAAGGCAGTGCAGGACAGACAAGCACACAGGGAGTCAGAGAGTGGCACATGGAGGGGTGGAAGGCGATGGGTTAGGGGTAGGGGTGGAAATACATGCACACATTTATGTTTGTATTTGTGACGGTGTATATCTTAAGTGTAAGTAGTATACAGTATGCATTAGGCTCAGATTAACGGTAAAAAATGTAGTAACTCCCATGAAGAATCCCATGAATGTACAAAAGTTAGGCATTTCTCAGTCATTGTAGTCAAATTATAGAATTGCCGTATTAAAAATATTGTTAATTTTTAAGTTTAAGTAAATATACAAATAAAACAATTACCTTTTTGGGCTGTCACAGGTATTTACATCTTGTTTGGATATGGACCCTTCCTCTAAAATGTCTTGTTTTATTTTATGAATACACATATTTTCTTCCTCTTGCTCGTTTTTCCATTTTGAAAATATAAAGAGGTTTGTTAGATATGACCTTTGACATTCAGAGCAAATTGTATTTGGCCGTCATTTTGAGCAGTTTACTAAATAAATCAGATCACCATAGTCAGTTAAAAAAAAAACAATAAATCTACACATTTTGACCATTGTGTCTTTCTTTCTTGTCGCCCAGGTTACGCCCCGGTGACGGGCATGTGCCATCCGGTCAGGAGCTGCACGTTGAACCATGAGGACGGTTTCTCCTCTGCCTTTGTGGTGGCACACGAGACCGGACACGTGTAAGTTCATTAACCACAATGAAGTGTGTAAGCTTGTTGTCATGGTGCAGCAGAAGACAACAGAGCAGGCACTTTACAGGTTTTATCGATTTCTAAAGGTTTTGGACCATCGCTCACCTCAGCCAATATTTCTGATGAGAGAATTGCTTCTACCTCCCTCCCTCCCTCTCTCCCTCCCTCCCTACAGGTTGGGGATGGAGCACGATGGCCAGGGGAACCGCTGTGGAGACGAGGTGCACATGGGCAGCATCATGGCCCCGTTGGTGCAGGCTGCCTTCCACCGCTTCCACTGGTCCAGATGTAGCATGCAAGAGTTGGGACGCTACCTTCAGTGAGACACACACACACACACACACACACACACACACACACACACACACACACACACACACACACACACACACACACACACACACACACAAAAATACAATACAATGCCATAAATAAATATTTAAATGTAAGCAATGTTTGTATTCAAGTGTATA